GGATGAGTGTCCTCTGTTATCTGATTCACTGTGGGTAGGTCCTGCACAAATCTATACTCCTTAGTGCCTGGCTTTACAATGGGCAGAATAGGGGTGATGTAAGCAGATTTGCAGGGATGAGTAAGCCCATGTTCAAGCCTAAGTTTAGCCCCTTGCTTCAAAGGGTACTGCTTGAGATGTAGGACAGTGTGGTTTGGTTTAAGCTTTACCTGGACCAGGGATTCTGGTGACCCAAACCTGGGGATTGACTTGGTCCTGGAGGTGCTGGGTTAGGAGTAGAGACTCTGTAGGGGCAGCCAGCTGCAAAAGGGCTGCCTGTAGAGCACAGGCCTTATCCAGTTCCACTCTTACTTGGAGATGATTTGCTGAAAAGGTGACTTGAGCATTTAGCTTGGTTAATACATCTCTCTGCAAAACGGGAATGGGACATTCAGGCACATACAAGAAGTTGTGAGGCAATTGTGTACCTCTGTTTTAGTTATCTAGTGCTGCTATAACAGAAATACCACAAGTGGATGACTTTAACAAAGAGAAATTATTTCCTTACAATAAAGTAGGCTAAAAGTCCAAATTCAGAGCATCAGCTCCAGGGGAAGCCTTTCTCTCTCTGTTGGCTCTGGAGGAAGGTCCTTCTCATCAATCTTCCCCTGGACTAGGAGCTTCTCTGCACAGTAACCCGGGGTCCAAAGGACGCACTCTGCTCCTGGCACTGCTTTCTTGGTGGTATGAGGTTCCCCTGTCTCTCTGCTTGCTTCTCTCTTTTATATCGCAAAAGAAACCAACTCAAGACACAATCCAACCACATAGATTGAGTCCTGCCTCATTAACACAACTGCTGCCCATCCCCCATCATTAACATCATAGAGGCAGGATTTGCAACACACAGGAAAATCACAGCAGATGACAAAATGGTGGACAGCCACACAATTCTGGGAATCATGGCCTAGCCAAATTGATACACATATTTTTTGGGGACACAATTCAATCCATGACAACCTCTGACTTGACAGTCCATAGGCTGAAGGAATTGTTTACTGGCAGATTTTCCAGATACACTACTGTCATGGATTGAATTATGTCCCGACAAAAATGTGTGTATCAGTTTGGCTGGGCCATGATTCCTGGTGCTGTGTGATTTTCCTATATGTTGTAAATCCTGCTTCTATGATGTTAATGAGGGAGGATGGGTGGCAGTTGTGCTAGTAAGGCAAGACTCAGTCTACAAGATTGGATTGTATCCTGAGGCAATCTCTTGAGATACAAAAGAGAGAAGTGAGCAGAGAGACAGGGGGACCTCATATCAACAAGAAAGTAGTGCCAGGAGCAGAGCGTGTCCTTTAGAACTGGGGTTCCTACGCGGAGAAGCTCCTAGACCGGGGGAACACTGATGAGAAGGCCAACAGAAAGAGAAAGCCTTCCCCTGGAGCTGATGCCCTGAATTTGGACTTTTAGCCTACTTTACTGTGAAGAAATAAACTTCTCTTTGTTAAAGCCATCCACCTGTGGTATTTCTGTTATAGCGGCACTAGATGACTAAGACACCTAGTAATGGTCATGTTTCTTTTAGAAAGCGGGCCTTTTAGGGTGTTTAAAACCAAGTAGGTTGTGCCTGTGTCCACCAAAAATTCAGTAAATTGTCCACCCACAGTCATTGTAAGCCGAGGCTCCTCGGGGGTGATGGGGATTGGTTGAATGGACTGTAGAGGAGCCCCTGGATCCCATCAGTCAGAGTCTTCGGCTGACAGCTGAAGCTGTGTTACAGGTTTTTTTCTTAGGTTCCTGCTCAGGTTGAGCCGGCTGTGAGGGGCACTTTCATTTCCAGTGGCCTTCTTGTTTGCAGTAGGTGCACTGTTGGGGGCCTAGCTTCTGGGGGGCTTTGTTTGGCCACCCACCCTTCCGGGGCTCACAGGGACTTACCGTATGGATGATTCCATGCAAGGCTTATCCGAGTGGCCAGTTACCTCCAAGAGCCGCTGACAGGAATGTAGCTTGTCGTTTCATCTTCTGATCTTTCTTCTCCTGTACCTGGTCTCAATTCTTGAGGAACTTAAAGGCAATCTCAACAAGTTGTGAAGTATTCATTCCCAAACCTCCTTCTAACTTTTGAAGTTTTCACCTGATGTCGGGGGCACTCTGGCTGATGAAAGTCATATTTCTTAACCTAGTGTTCTCTGGGTCCTCAGGATTTATGTTAGTAAACTGTCGGTAGGCCTTGTACCTCTGTTCTAGGAAACAGGAGGGATTTTCTTTGGGGCCTTGCTGCATATCCTGAACTTTTCTAAAGCTCTTTGGTTTTGGTGCCTCTTATCGCAAACCTACTATTAGACACTTTTGGTAATAGTCTAGCTGCCCTGCCCCTAGCCAGTCATTTGGGTCCCAGTTTGGATCAATGGCAGGTATAGCTTGGACAGCCAGGACGCTAATATTGTTCTGAGGGTTGAGATTGGTTAGCCTGTCAGCCTTTTGGTGTGCCTTTTCTAAGACCATCCTCCATTCTTCTGGAGTTAAAAGTAATACTTAGAAGTGACTGACAATCAGCCTAATTAGGGTGATATGTAGCAAAAATAGACACAAACAGAGGTTCAGAGTGTTTTGGGTCATCTCTATACGCAGGGAGATTGTTCTTCCAAATGTACAGATCAGAGGTGGAGAACAGGTTTGTGGACCCAGAAAAACCCTCTAGGCTGGCCATTGTGATCCAGTCGGGCAGGCATTTGTCTTGGTGGAAATTGCCCTGAGGAGACTTGGATGGATCCGTGGCCAAATTGCATACCATTGACTGGATTGCAACAGGTTTTTTTTTTGTTGTTTTTTTACAGGTGTGTGCTGGGAAGACTATTCCCAGGGCAGGACCGGGAGTTTCTGACTCATGAGGGACTGGCGAGCAGTTTGCCAGAGGGGTGGCGGAGGATTCCACCAAAGGGGTAGGGGCTGCCGCTGGTGAGGCAGCGGGGGCGCTGGTGTTGCAGCCAGTGGGGCTGTAGGAGACACATAAAGGTCTGTATGTAGGAGATTTCATCCCACTTTTTCCTCTCTTTTGCAAAACAGATCTAACTGTAAGATGGTATGATAGCTCAGCGACCCATTCTCAAGTTACTCTTTTTGGAACCCAACTGGTATTGTGGCCAGACAGTGTTACAGAAGAAAACTAATTTCTTCTTCATAGGCTCATAACTAAAAGAGGACCAATTTTTAAGTATACAGCCTAAAGGGGAACACTCCAGAACACTAAGTGGATCATAACAAATGGATAACATTTCGAAGAATGGGAATTCCAGAGTACTTAATTGTGCTCATGAGGAACCTGTACATAGATTAAGAGGCAGTCGTTCAAACAGAAAAAGGGGATACTGCGTAGTTCCAAGTCGGGAAAGGTGTGTGTCAGGGTTGTATCCTTTCACCATACCTATTCACTCTGTATGCTGAGTAAATAATCCGCGTTGGACTAGATGAAGATCACGGCATTAGGATTGGAGGAAGACTCATTAACAACCTGTGATATGCAGATGACCTTGCTTGCTGAAAGTGAAGAGGACTTGAAGCACTTACTGATGAAGATCAATGATTACAGCCTTCAGTATGGATTACACCTCAACATAAAGATAACAAAAATTCTCACAACGGAACCAATAAGCAGCAACATGGTAAAGGGAGAAAAGACTGAAGTTGTCAGGGATTTCATTTTACTTGGATCCACAATCAACGCCCATGGAAGCAGCAGTCAAGAAATCAAAAGAGGCATTGCACTGGGCAAATCAGCTGCAAAAGATATCTTTAAAGTGTTAAAAAGCAAAGATGTCACCTTGAAGACTAAAGTGCACCTGACCCAAGCCATGGTGTTTTCAATCGCCTCATATACATGCGAAAGCTGGACAATGAATAAGAAAGAGAAGAAGAATTGACGCCTGTGAAATACGGTTTTGGTGAAGAATATTGAATATTCTGCCAGAAGCATGAACAAGTCTGTCTTGGAAGAAATACAGCCAGAGTGTTCTTTCGACGTGAGGATGGCCTACTTTGGACATATTATCAGAAGGGACCAGTCCCAGGGCGACATCATGCTTGGTAAAGTTGAGGGTGGGTGAACAAGAGGAAGACCCTCAACGGGATGGACTGACACAGTGGCTGCAACAATGGGCTCAAACATAACAATGATTGTGAGGATGGCGCAGGACCAGGCAGTGTTTTGTTCTGTTGTACATAGGATCGCTGCAAGTCGGAACCGACTCGACAGCACCTAACAACAACAATATCGCCTCCTCCTAAGAAGCCCTCCCAAAACCCCGTCTCCAAGGACATCTCACAGACGTCCTCCCCGAGACCGACTCAGTCGCTCTCCTGCGCTCCCTCTGGCAGTCTTATCCGAGCTCTTTCCCAGCTCAGAGGGTTAATCCCCGATTTTGAGTCTTCCGACACACTAGGCTCCGTGAGGCATGGCGGATCTGATTCATTTTTGAGTCTTGAGCCTTGCACAGGACGCCAGTACTCAGGGAGCGCCGAACAAAGACGGAAGCGTCTCTTCGGACCACTAAGAAACCTTTGACATTGTTTCCCCCCGGCCTCCAGAGTAGGGCGGGACGGTGACGTGTCGCCACGCGCGGGAAAGGCGAACGAACTACAACTCCCAGCGGCTCCGCGCGACGCGCTGGTCCAATTGTCCGGCGAGGAGGCGAGAGGCGGGCCCTATATAAGCCCTATTCCGGCGTCTTTTCGTTCTTTCTGCTGTCGCGGCGTCTTGTCTGTCTCTTCTTCCCAGAAAGTCGTCTTGCTGTGTATCCGCGCCCTTCTCCCGCTATTCCCGCGCCACGCCGCCACCACCCGGTTACGCGCCGAGGCTGCCTCTTGAGCGTGCGGGATGTTGAGCGTGACACACGGGCAGGGCCTGCGGGCTTGGCGGGACTTAGGCCGCATTCGCAGCTGCGGGGGCCGGAGCCCACGAGGCTGCGCCTTTCTCCCGCCTCGCCCTGTGCAGCCCTGCGCTCCCATCTGACCGGCGAGTAACGCGGGGAGGCGGCCGGGTACCCAGAAAGGGGTGGAGGGGCAGCATGGTGGTGGTCAGTGAGACCTGGAATGGAGTTACCGGGTGACTTTGGGCAAATGAGTTTTCTGACTGCACGACATGTGTTAACGAGGCTACTCGTTTTCGAATCCCCAGCTCTGCTACTTTGAACCTTGATAGATAACCGTCGGCAAGTAAGTTAATTAGGCTAATCTTAATCTGTAAAATGGTGATGATAAAATGGTCTAGTAAAGAGTATATGAAACAAAGCATGCAAAACACTTGCACAGCCCCTGCCTGGTACGTAATAATAACTTCATAAATGGAAACAGCGGTAATTAGGGCTACAGGACTACTGTCTCTTTGTTTTGTTTTTTGCCCAGAATGTTGTGGTAGATTAATTTCAGGAGGCAACACATAGGATTTAGGTGAGTCTAAGATGGCGGAACAGCGGTTTCGGCGTAGGGCTGTTCTGTGACCTAGATTGCCCCGTGGCCCTTATCGAAGCTGCAGCTGCTTCCACATAGCTGCTGTGGTCAAAAAGGAGCCCAGACTGACAGTTTTCCTTGACGGTCGCCGTTCAGTTTGCTGTAACCGATCTGCAACATTCCGGGAAAAGACATTCCTGCCATTTCTCAGATATGGTCAGAGAGCTTTATTAAAATTGGCATGTTTTCCCGATGCCAGCAGAAATGTTGATGAGGGCTTCCATATAAAGCTAGCAGAATGAGGTTTGTGAGAGGTACCTTGCTAAGACCAAGAGCCAGTGTCAAGGAGCAGTAGGCCGAACATCGGTATTTGAGGAAATCCAGTGGCATATGGGGTAGATCAGAGCAATGCTTTGGATCACTGGTCTGAAGCTTAAGGCAGCCAGACCGAAGATGAAGCACACAGAAGTAGTAAAAGGTCAAGTTAGAGAAGATTTGTGCATTGATAGCTGAAATGTATAATCATAGGTACTTAAAAGTACTGTTAATTGGCTCAAACCAAATGAAGGGAACACGAAGGTCATTCTGGACGATTGTTCTCATTCTAGACGTGCTGAATGAAGATTTCAGGATGATTGAAATTGATGGTCTTTCTGGTGAATGAGGACTGTGAGGAACAAGGAGCCACATGACCTGGTAGGTTTCCTGTGGATGCTAGTTTTGGAATCTCTTGGTGGGTTGAGACAGCATGTTCCCAAGGTCTGTGGCTGGTTGTAGCCACTGGATCTCCAACTGCATGCAAGAGCAACCTGGAGAGACTTTGACAGCTTAGGTCAGCATAATACCTGCAGCTGCCACTCGCCTTTCCTATAAACAATCTTAGGATCTGGGCCATAAGCTTCCACCTGAGTTCAGGTGTTTCCATCAGCTTCCATGTAGATGGGTGTCTACTAGGTTGACTTTGGTTTAGAGCTTTCACAATTTTTTCTGCAGGATGTCCTGTGTTTCCCTGGCTGTGTTAACAACTCTGAACGTACCAGCTTGTTGTTGGAGCTGTGCTTTAGAATCAGGTAAAGTAAAATGTTGAAGATGCAGAATGGCTTGACCCTCCAGTTCCCTTTCCCATCGGATCTGAACACTGGTCTGGGTGGTCGTAAAAGGAGGAAGAGTAACATTGAAACAGACCTCAGTGCTCGTAGCACATGGGCTAGTTTCAAACAAGATCAAATTCACTGGATTTGTTTCCGAATATCTGGGGATAATAAGCTTAAAGGAATGAGTAAATGAGTAAAGCTCTGAGCAGCTGGTGTAGCAGTAGGTGGACTATTTAACTGTATTTGGGGAGGGATCTAGTGTAAAGCTTTCTCGTCTCTTGATTAAAAAGTATTGTTTTTTTAGATCTTTGTTATTGGTAATGCTGTCTCCATCTGTGATTAAAGATCTACAGCGTTGGGTAAGTTGAACCTTTATCACAGTTTTTTTGGAGCTTCAGGTAGGGCTTCCTTGATGTGAACCTGTCCTCAAGCAGTACAGGAAATAGAATCACAAGGTTACAGGTCTCCCTTTCTCATAGATTACAGGTAGTCCTTGATTTATGATGTATTCTAGTTAGGGCAAACTGCGCTTAAATGACCCTCTGGTTTTGTACATCTTATCCTTGGTAATACATACTACATACGGTGTTGCAGTAAGTGATTTGCTGATGTTCGCATTCTCAGATGTTCAGTCTTAACGGTTTACGTTCAGATAACTGCCCTATAGCACACTATGGCAATAATACTTTAAAAAAAATAAAGTGTTCGACTTAAATGTCAGAACTAACTTAGAATGGAGTCGTTGGAATGGAACTACTCACAGGGGCCAGCTATATTTTCATTGTGGCTTGGTGTGTTGGATTTGTGGGTCTTAAAGCTGTAAACAGTCCTAAGTCTACCAGCAGCAACAGGTCTGGACCTTGAGCAAAGGGGGGGAACTGATTGCTGTGACTGCTGTAGTTGCTCCAGCTCATGTTGGATTGTCTGGGGTGACTGCAAACCATGGCATTCTATTCTTCCCCACCCCACCAAGGATGACAGATGGATTTAGATAGAAACCAGTAGTTCAGTTTAGCTGTTTTTTAAAGGCAGACTGGTCTGGGATGAAACCTAATCTGAGTGGACATCTATGGATGATAAGTGCGGATATGGGACTGAGACCAGCTCTTAGAAAATTGCTTGGGTGAGGTTTAGTCAGAGCAGTACTGACACACTGGCTTACACTTCCTTTTCAGGACTGAAGTGCTGCGGGAAGAAACATACACCCAGCTTATATGGAAACAGCTCTGCAAGCAGATAATCTTTTGTTTAGTGCTGTATCCCTGGTACCTGGCATAGGTGACAAATAAAAAACTACTGTATGGAAATGCATATCATTTTTCTTCCTGTTTCTCAAGTTGGTTATTCCCCGTCTAAATATTCCATAGAACAAAACTGAATAGTCTCAATCCCTTCATTAACAAGGTTGTCGTCTTGGAAATGGCAATTTGATCATCTCTATAACTACATTTATACCAGTCTCCATTCTTAATACTCAAAAGGTTTTAAAGGGTTCTCAAGGCCTAGACCAGGAGCTCCAGTGGCACAGTGGTTAAGCACTTGGCTGCTAACCAAAAGGTTGGTGGCTGTAACCCACCCAGCGGCTCCACTGGAGAAAGACCTGGTGATGTGCTTCCATAACAACCCTGGGGCAGTTTGCGCTCACTTAGGGTCACTATGAGTGGGGATCAACCCCACACCACCTAACATGGCCTAGACAGTAATCCCTGTGTCTCAAGCTGCATCTCACCACCATCAGTTGCACCCTCCCCCTAAATTTCTCTAGAGCTAGATGGAGGGGCCTGAGAATCTCTTCAGCAGGTGTCCTGCATACTCGATGTGACAAAATTGGGGTGGGATTTCTTGATTTATCAAGAAATCACATAAGTGGGTTGTGATAAAGGCATGAAGCTCTGGTGGGGTACACTGACCTTAGTAGAGTTACCTATTTTCTGTGCTATCATTTCCCTTGTGTAAGCCCTACAATTTAATGAAGGCCAAGCATTGTCACAAGTGGGGTTAGGGACTAAGCACTTTGATGGCCTCAAGGATGTCCTGAAGACCAGGTCCTGCAGATTTTGCTACCATCAAAATGTAGTTCCTGGCCCAGCTGGAATGTCATAACAACTCAAAATGATAATCCATTATTGGAGCAAGTTTGTTGGAAATGAGTGGTGGCGACCTCAAAAGTACCCTGCACTATAACATGCCCCATCCATTCTAACCCCTGCCCCCCTGTGCAAAAGAAAAACCAGTTGCCACTGACAACAACCCCAAGTGTGCAGAGTAGAACTGCTATGACTTTTTGGAAAGGATCACTGGTGGTGGTGAACTGCTAAACGAAAGGTAGCAGAGCAAAACTACCAGTGGTTCCGTGGGAGTAAAGACCGGGGGATCTGCTCCCCTAAAGATTACAGCCTGGAAACGCTACGGGGCAGTTCTATGCTCACAGAATCTCAAGTCAGAATCAACTCCATGGCACACAACCGCCTTTCAGAAGCAGGTTGCCAAGCCTTTCTTCTGAGGTACCTCTGGGTAGGTTCAAACCACCATCACCTTTTGGTTAACCACTGGGCCACCCTGGGACTCCACATTTTAACCCCATAATATGTTAATGATTAAGTGTCTCACCCTAAGAGTGAGAGGGGCCTCTGTAAACCAGTGTTCACTAAAATGTTTTTATCTAATCCACTTTTGGTTAATAATTCCAGGCTTCTCATGGCCAAGGGTATGGATGATCCTACTGTGTAAATGATTCTTGTTCAAAAAAACATGAGAGTTAAAGGATGCTCAGGGATGGAAAAGGACAATCTTCAACAGTTGGTCCCTTGGTTTTCAAACTGAAATTAGATGGGAAGCCAGCAGCATTGCAAGAATATTCATCCATAGGAAACATGGTTCATTATTAAAATTTTAAAAATATTTCCAAAAAGGTAAAAGTTCTTATAATTTTTTAAAAAGAAGTCTCTGATCTCCTTTACATAGTCCATTCTGGCTTGTCCTGGCTACATCATGGCAGGGATCTCTGAAGACACCGTGTCCAGAGGCTGCCAGTGACAGTCCATTAGTGCATCGTACAGCTCCTCACTCTGCTCCATGAACTCCTTGTTGGCCTCAGTCACATCCAGCTGCGGCATCGGGTCTGGAAGAGAAGCAGGGACAGGTTCAGGAGACTTCCCCACAAGATGTGGCAGGGAGGGCCGGGGGAAGAAGCATGGGTAGCCACATGAGACTTGGGATCAACTCCCAGCTCCTAAAGACGTCCTGTGTGTCCTTCAGGCAAGTTCCCTATCCTCTCTGTTAAGTTTCCTCATTTATCATAGGGCCAATACCACTGCCTTGCAGGGTTCCTGTGAGAATGACAATAGGATAATGGAACTAGAGACTGTACTATGTAGTTAGTACTCAAATGGTGGCTGTCCAGCTGCATTTATTAACAGCTACACATACGTCTCTAGCCACTGTGTGCCCGGGATTTTCGGTGTGGTTCTTATTTCAAGTTTGGGTTTGGAAAATCTGATCACAATTACTAAGTCAAAGCACCATTCCGAGAACTAACACTGTCTAAGGAAAAGAACTATGGTCAAATACGTGCTGAGAGCCGTGAGTCCTGTATTGAGCTAATCATTTCTTTCTTTCTTTTTTAAATTGTGAAAAGTGGTACTTGTTCTTTAGAAATCACAACAAAACACAGAATAGTATTTAAAAAATTGTAAAATATGGCATATTCTTAAATGCAATTATATAGCATTGAAAATGAACAGCAGGTGCATGCAACTTGGATGAATCTCATAAATACAATGCTGAGTGAGTGCTGAATGAAAGAATCAAGACACAAAGTACATACAGTGTGGTTCCAGTTAAACAACAAACCTTGCCACTGAGTCGATTCTGACTCATAGCGGCCTTATAGGACAGAGTAGAACTTCCCAGTTGGGTTCCCAAGGGGCGGCTGGTGGATTCTAACTGCCGACCTTTTGGTCAGCAGCTGATTTTTTTTTTTTTTTTATTGTGAAAGTGTACAGTTCAAGTTAGTCTCTCATACAAAAATTTATACATACACTGTTTTGTGACCCTACTTGCTCTCCCTATACTGTGACAACACACTTCTCCTTTCCACCCCAGATTTCCCATGTCCATTCAACCAGCTCCTGACCCTCTCTGCCTTCTCATCTCACCTCTGGACAAGAGAGCAGCTGATCTTTTTAACCACTGTGCCACCAGGGCTCTGATTCCAGTATGTAAAGTTGAAAAACAGGTAAAACAAAACCATACTGTTTAGAGATGCATAGCTAGTGATAAAACTATAAAGAGAAGGAAGAAAATGATTATTATAAAAATCAACACAAGGGTTTTCCTTAGTGGGAGGGGGGGTTTGTGACTGGTGGAGGGGATGATGGTTTCCAGGGGTCTGGTAACGTTCTACTTCTTGACCTGAATGAAGGTTTCATGGACAACTGCTTTGTAAATTACATACTGAACTGTATATTTATGTACTTTTCTGTATATACTTTGTATTTTACAATTTAAAAAAATCCTTAACCACTAGGATTTTTGTACTTTTCAATTTTGTGTTGCTTTAACATGAATACACACGAACACATCCATGTATTAAAACACATTTTAGAACTAGAGAAATTAAAGAAGACATGAATAAATGGAAAAACATCTCATATTCATGGATCAGAAGACTTAATATTATCAAGATGAAAATACTCTCAAAACTGATCTACAGAGTCAAATCAATCTCTATCAAAATCCCAGCTACATTTTTTTTGGGGGGAGCAGAAACTGACAAGCTGATCCTAAACTTTATATGGAAAGGCAAGGGATCCAGAATTGCCAAAACAATATTGAAAAAGAATAAAGTTGGAAGAGTCACACTTCCCCATTTCAACACTTACTACAAAGCTACAGTAATAAAGACTGTGGCACTAGCCTAAGGACAGATACATAGATGAATGGAACAGGACTGAGAGACCAGAAATAAATCCTTACATTTAGAGTAAATTTATTTTTTGTTTGTTCCTATATACTTTTTTCTTTGATCACTTAATAAATTCCTGGATAAATAATTGCTGAGTCAAAAAGCAATATATTTTGAAGATTCTAATGCAAGTAAATTGATTTTTGACAAGGATGCCAAGACAATTCTATGGAGAAAAAACAGTCTTTTAATAAATGGTGTAGGACAATGGGATAGCCACATGCAAAACAATAAAGTTGGATCTCTACCTCACACCATTTAAAAAAATTAACTCAAAATGGGTCAAAGATCAAAATATAAGAGCTAAAACTATAAAACATTACAAGACAGGCATAAACAGACAATGGTTTCTAGGATATGACACTAAGAGCACAAGCACCAGAAGAAAAAATAGATAAGGTAAATAGGACTTCACTAAAACTAAAAAACTTTTGTTCCAGGCAACGATAAAGAACAAGGATGAATCTCTGAAGCATCTCATAATATGGATGAAACTGGAGGACATTATGCTGAGTGAAATAAGTCAATCACAAAAGGACAAATATTGTATGAGACTTCTATTGTAAAAACTCATGAAAAAGTTTACACACAAAAAGTAACAATCTTTGTTGGTTACAAGGGATGGGAGGGTGCGGGGGGAAATACTAAATAGGCAATAGGTAGGTGGTTATCTTTGGTGAAGGGTGAGACAGTACACAATACAGGGGAAACCAGCACAACTTGTACAAGGAAAGGTCATGGAAGCTCCAAAGACACATCCAAACTCCCTGAGGGACTGAACTGCTGGGTTGGAGGGCTGTGGGGACCATGGTCTTGGGGAACATCTAGCTCAATTGGCATAACACACTTTATAAAGAAAATGTTTTACATTCTACCTTGGTGAGCAGCGTCTGGGGTCTTAAAGGCCTGTGAGCGGCCATCTAAGATACTCCACTGGTCTCATCCCTTCGGGAGCAAGGGAGAATGAAGAGAACAGGATACAAGGAAAAGATTAGTC